TGAACTACTAATCCAGTTATAGATGGTGCTGTGTGTTTACATATTGTTCTCTCCGTCATCAGTTCCTCCGTCTGTGCCAGTATGTCAGCTGCAGGGAAACCCCTACATGGGGAATGATGTGACTCTGAGTTGTCATTCCTCTCAGGGTCTCTCCACACCGATCTATTCATGGCACAGAGAGCAGAACGCAGCCCCTCTGCCGCCATACAGTTTTATTGAAGGTAGGAAACAATCATTCTGGCACCTGAAAATAGGGCATGGATGACACAGACAGCACGGATTTGCTTACTCAACAATTATATAGGATTTTATAAAGAGCCAAACAGGATAATATATAAACACTAAGCATTAACTTACTAATGATTTCAATCAAATTACTAATGAAAATGTACTTGCTCTCAGGCCATCCAAGACATAGATGAATTTGTTTCTTCATCAGAAAGATTTGGAGAAATGAGAGTCCAAGCAGCTGATGAACACAATAATCCACACGACTCCAATCCATTAACATCTTGTGAAGTGAAAAGCTGTGTGTTTGTAATAAATAAATCCATCAAAACGTGTTATAGTAATTAATAATTATTTAAATTTTTGTTTAATTCTTTTGTGGATAAAAATAAATATTCATTTAACTATATATCATTTGCGGTCAGTAAATTGTCCATATATATCACCATTAGTCATCAGCCACCCTGCTATCTAGATATCAACCTTAAAAAAAAATCCCCTATGAGACAATAACTAGAAAACACGTCTCATTTGTGCTTCAGATCAGCGCACCGGTTCTCTGATGTTGCACAACCTGTCTGATGCCTTTGCTGGTACCTACACATGTAAAGCGTCTAATGAACTCGGTCAGGCAGCGTGCAGCGTAACCCTCAGAATGACCTGTGAGTACAACACACACACACACACACACACACACACACAGCTCTAACATAACTGAATACTAAAATCATTTGACATGGTGTTCTGTTGTTAGATGGAGGAACTGCAGCTGTGATTGGCGGAGTGTTGATAGGAATCTTTCTCGTTCTGCTGTTGATTGGGGTAATGGTCATCTTAGTCACCTGGAGCAGGAAGAAGCACGTCCAGAAAACATATGCAAATGAGCATAGGTGTGTATTTAAACCACTGTAAACTAGATGTGATGTTCAGCATTTTTATTCTTTATGTTTTGTACAAGTCAGGTGAAAAACAATTCAGCACTTCAACAGCAGAGCGGAGGGAACCTACTACCCATTTAGTCGGGTACTGAAGACCAATCGGACTTCAAAGTGTCTCACTTTAGTCCAGTTGTTTAGCCTCCTCAGATGCTTCTTTTGCATCTGTCTCTGCTGGTTTAATCTCTGAGCCTACAATAAATACACACTTTTAACATACCTAGAAGCGTACCTTTGTACTCATTTCATTCAGTACTACTATAATGTTGGATTAAAGAAATTAAAGGGGTCATATGATGCAATTTCAATTTTTCCTTTCTCTTTGCTTTTTTGTCAACTTGCTTTCTTTTAATTAACACAGTTTTTGTATTTCTTTATTTGGAACTGTTTGTAGGCCTCATTAATCTGATCTTATCCACTTACATTTTTCAGTGAAAAAAGCATTATTTGTGGATAATTTTGGCAATGTTCACTCAGAAACGGAGGTGCATAAGCTTGGCTCAGATCAATAAGACCTATGATCAATCAGTGCCGAAAAAAACAAAAAACAAAACCTATGCTTACTGAAATAAAACGAGTTGATAAAAAGATTGAATCCAATATTTGGTAATATTATAGCATAAACAACAATTTTTGTAGGCTGGTAATGTTTTTCATGGGAACACCACAAATCAAACAAAGGGGGGGGGGTCAAGTGTGAGCAAGTCAGTAAGTCTTAATCCAATCCTCTCTGGGTTCAAATGACCAGAACACAAATCTGTCAAAATAAATAGGTTATCAAAAAGGTTTCAAATCAAAGTTATGAAACAATTCACCAATATTAATTCTGCCTCCATTTAGGCCTTTCATGGCAATGTTGAAGCCCTCCCCCTCTGCTCCAAGCAGATTGGTCACTGGGACAGCGCAGTCCTCAAATATCACAGCTCGGGTTGGCTGCGAATTCCAACCTACCTGAAAGATGTTGGTACACTGGTTATAAATCACAGCAGTGAAAACATAAATCAATCCTGCCACCTGCTGGACAATCTTTTTAAAAAATGTCACTCCAAGGTGTTCCTGTCCTAAATAATACCCTTATACTGAAGATGTTCATTACCTTCTTCTCTTTTTTGCCAAAGCTGAGTCCCGGGGTCCCTTTTTCAACCACCAGGCAGGAGATGCCCTTAGGTCCCTTCCCACCTGTCCTGCACATGACCACATAAACATCTGTGTCTCCACCTCCACTGATGAACGCCTGACAAGAAACATCAAAAACGGTTGGGAAGCTGCATGGAGATTTTTGTCAATGTCTCAATCATTTCTCAAGGTACCTTGGAGCCATTCAGAATATAATGATCTCCTTGGAGTTTCGCGCTGGTTAGAAGCGAAGCGGCATCACTCCCACTACCTGAGGTTAGGGAATAAAAAAAATTATTAAAACTATTAAAACATGAAAAAAAAAAAAAATGTTATATATATATAATATATGTAATATATATATAATATATATATATGTTATATATATATAATATGTCAAAATATTAAATGCTCTCTCTCTCTACATATATATATATCTCAACACACGTTTAGTAATTACGTTTCTGTCATTTTTACTAGTTTTTTTTAATATTTTTGTTTATTTTTATATTATTTAGAATTAAATACTTTTAGTTAATGAAAACAACATTGATGTATCCCAAAAAGGAACACAGAAAAATGTGATCTTGAACTTACCAGGTTCTGTGAGACAGTATGAAGCAAACTTCTGCATAGAGCAGAGATCAGGACAGAATTTCTCCCTCTGCTCATTGTTTCCAAATGTGTCTATCATCCAGGCACACATGCTGTGTCCAGCACAACCATTAAACACCATGTAAAACCCAATGAATCATGAAGAATGGAAACAATATGCAAGCACATGTACCATGTTACATAAAAATTAAATCTACCTTATGTATTATTATTCCAATGCAGCAACAACTTTAAAGTATTATATAAGTAAGCTAGTAGGGACAATTATGAAGCGTAGATGGCAGAGGAGACTCACTTGTGAATACTGATGTATGCGGTAGTGCTGACACAGCCTGTGGATAAAGCCTCAAATATGATAGAGGTGTCCAGACGAGAGAGTCCCGACCCCCCAACATCAGGGTTCACATAAATCCCACCAAACCCCAGCTGGGCGGCTTTCCTCATGGCCTCCACCGGGAACATTTCCTACCAGTGAAGATATTAATGGTGCTCAACTTTGGTAAATGTTTCAGAATGAAATATAAACAATAAGCAATTTTGTCAGATGTTCACATTACCTTTTGGTCCCATTCTGCCATATGTGGTGCCATCTCGTTGGCAGCAAAGTCAAATGCCACCTTCTGAAACTCTTTCTGTTCATCTGTGAGTCCTATAGAGGCTGTGGAAATATATGCAGAAATGTATATATGTGTGTGTATTATATATTTGTTATATATACTAATATATATTAACATTACTTTATATTGATTATCTACTGTATTTATTAGCAGCAGCATCTGTAGTAATGAGATTCATGACCAAGGAGGATCAAAGGAAACGGCGTCTGATATCAGCCAATCAACTGCACTCGACACACACCCCCAAATATGATTGGTTGAGCTCATTAAAGTCCAACCAGTAACGTTTGAAGAAGCACGAACCTGCTTAAATCTACGTTATTAAAATGTAAGATTGTATGATTCAATATAATAAACAACGTGTGTTTGGAAATTTTACAAGTTAATTCATTAAACTGTCAACTTTGAAACTCCAGGAACACTGACGTTTCACGAAGCGTTATATCGACTGCACAATGGAGTTTACTAAACAAAAAATGTAGATTAAAATGACATATTAATGTATAACTCAAATACAATTCAAATTAAAAACGGACTCCTTTTTACCAATGGCACCAAACGTTCAATGTGTGACGGTCTGAGTCTGCTACATTTCCTCAGAAATTATATATTTAAAATCATAAATTTGCACCAAAAAGCATATTATCGAATATGCGATCACATTAATTGAAGTCTACATTAGATCTACACTAACTTTATTGAAACCATAGTATTTGAAACATACATTCACTCTAGTATTCCTAAGTGACTGACTGCTTGTCGTTATTTCTCAAACAACGTTATTATTATCACCACGGTCTTTAAATAATTTGACTTACGATCAACGCAAGCTGCTATTCCTCGTCTCTGTACACCGCTAAATGTTAAACTGCGACTTCTACCGATGCTATATGAACCCAATCGGACACCTCTTGCGAGTACCCTAGCCGCCGCCATGTTGATTTAGTGACGCGTTCAATCACCGCGGTGATTATGGGTAATGTAGTTCTACACAGTCTGGACTTGACAACAGGTACCCTCATATGAATCATGTATGCGCAGCATCAACGCAGTTTTAGCTATTTTTTTTAATACCACATGAATATATTGAATTTAAGTTGCAAGCAGTTTTAATAATTATAAACGATCTTATTTTTATATACCCCACATTCTGTGGTTGGGTTTGAAATAAAATCAGACTAAATCCAGTTATGATCCTCCAGACCGCATACGATCTGCCTGGGCGCTGTTTTATCACGAGGGCTTGCAGAAACATTTCCTCGCATTTCCAGTGAAGCATGCCACCCAAGAAAAGAACACGAAGCAAATCCACTAAACATGGTAAGTAATCTGTGTAATACAAGGGTTGCGTCGTTTGTAAGTTTTATGCGAAACAAGTCATCACTTTGAATAATTAATTGCTTCTTGTTTTAGCTGATGCAGACGCCCAGCACTGTGAGGGGTCTGATGATGTTGCACAACTCAAAACTGGCAAAAGAAACAGGTCGGCAGCAGTAACAAGTGATGTGGAGAAAAATAAAAATGATGACGCAATCAAATCATCTTACAGCCACTGGCTCATGAAGTCTGAACCTGAGAGTCGGATTGAAAATGGAGTGGACGTGAAGGTAAACCCTTTTGAGTGAGTGAGTGAGTGAGTGAGTGAGTGTGTGTGTGTGTGTGTGTGTGTGTGTGTGCTCAATCTGGATCCCGCCACAACGTCTTCTCTGAAGGAAGCTGTAGCGGTTGTGTCACGAGAATCTGAGGTGAACGAGGTTCCTATGGAGGACCTTGCTGAGAAAATCTGATAATCTCTTCATCCAGAAAATGACCGGGTCTGACCGGGCCGCCTATCCAAAGACTGTTACTTTAAGGGCATGTACAAGAGTGTGTTCTAAAGCCGCCTTTCCACTATCCAACAAACAACAAGCGAATGACTGGAAGTCATTCATTTCCAATGGAGAGTAGTGCGGGAGCTGCGTGGAGTTACGATCATATGCGTGTGTGGAAAATTCGTATCCGATTTGAGCTTCGAATGCGTTCAAATATTTGAACTCCTGCGGCTAGACCGTATGCGACCGCCTGACCGGATGTGATGTATTCTAATCAAAACTATGAGCACGAGGTTAGAATTACCAATATTTTCCCACTTTAACGTTATTCTGTAAACACAATTTCTGTAAAATGGCGCTTCAATTATGGCAGAAATAATTATTTTATAATTATTAAATAATTATGCACGTTGATTAGCCCCATAAAACCTACTGTTTTAATTTTGTGGGTCATTTGTTTTGTGTGGATATATTCATACATTCATTTTATTCATTAAAAGCGTTCATTTTGACATGGTGAATAAGCAGAGGGTGACGGTTGCTTCACAACCAATTTGAAAGTACTGTGCAACTGCCGCTAGGGGTAGAAATGCGACAATCATATCCAGATGTCGGAGACCATGAAAATGCAGCTTATCTCTTTGCGTACTGCCCATTTTGTTACTGTTTTTGTTTTTGTTTTTGTTTTGTTTGTTTGATTGCAAAAGTTTAACTTAAGCAAAAATACAACATCACAGATAACTACAACAAGTGGGGTATGGAAGCCTATTTACACTGCATGAAAAAGAAAAAAAAAACATGCTTCCATAACTCAAAGCTGTAAAGCAGCTTTGACACAATCAGTATTGTATAAAGCGCTATACAAATAAAGGTGACTTGACTTGACTTCTCAGGTAATCGTATCTTAAATATTTTTTACTGGAAAATAAGAGAAAATCCTCAAAATTATTATTTTTTTTCCAGTGCCTTCTTTCCATTCTCCCTCCTAGACTCTGAGTTAATTATCTAGTCAGCCCCACACAGCAGTCTGTTAAATCATCCTAAGTGCAGCCCATTTAGAAGCATATTCCACCTGGAAATGAGCAGGAATCTGATAAGCACTTGCCCTGACTGGTGAAGGCATTACTCATCTTGTGAGGAGCACGTATCCTTTCCTTTCTCATGCTTGGGTTTTCTCACTGCAGTAGGACAGTTGTTCATCAGTGATGTTTACTAAGGCAAACATTACAACAAATGTTGCTCATACTTTCATTTAGGGATTTGAACAAACTCCTAACCCTTAGAATTAAACTCTGGTGTATAACATCCAGCACCATTTGCTACAGATATGAGCGATACCTTAAATCATTCTGCTTGCTGAGGAGAGGTGTGCTATTAATAATCTAAACAATTGGATTATTTTTGCCTATAAAGCGCTATATAAATAAAGGTGACTTGACTTGACAAAATGCCAGCTTTTTAACTCAACTTAGTATGTCATAATTTAAACTTTTTCATCTCATTATTACTTATATATATCATAATTATGAATTAGTACAGGTGTGCCCAAACTCGGTCCTGGAGGGCCGGTGTCCTGCAGCGTTTAGCTCCAACTTGCCTCAACACACCTGACTGGAAGTTTCTATGCCTAGTAAGAGCTTGATTAGCTGGTTCAG